TTGTTGTTGTTGTTGTTGTTGTTGTTGTTGTTGTTTGTTGTTGTTGTTGTTGTTGTTGTTGTTGTTGTTGTTGTTGTTGTTGTTGTTGTTGTTGTTGTTGTCTTTGTCTTTGTCTTTGTCTTTGTCTTTGTCTTTGTCTTTGTTGTTGTTGTTGTTGGTGTTCTGTGGTGGTGGTGGCGATGGCGGCTGCGGCCGGCTGCGGCGGCGGCGACGGTGGTGGCGAGGTTTGCGGTTCTTGTGGTTTTGGTTGTCGGTTGTTGTCGTCGGGCTGGTGGGTGGTGGTTGTGGCTGCCTGGCTGCTTGGCCGGGCTTGGTTGGTTGATTGTTCCGGGCAAGCGTCCTATAGGGCGCTGAGTTGGCTGTTTCATTCTTCTCCCCAAACGACACACTGGTTTTCCGTGGGGTTGTTGCACGGCTGTTTTTACAGGTTGGCTTTGTTTGCCCCATCCAACATGGACGCGCCTCAGTCCTGGCCAGCGATAGGTCCTGCCGCTAGCAACGGAGCATCCCCCCAGCGCTGCGCCTAGATGCGAGGGGCAAAGCGGAAACTGGGGCTCTTGCAAAATTAGGGCAAGGGCGTGGAGAGGCTAGAAACGGGCCAACAAACGTTTTTGCTGCCGGGCTTGCATTCTTTCCCGAAAACCATCTGTGTGATTTAATCTTCGCAGCACGTTTGCTGAACTTCTGAACACTCCAGGCCGCTCCCTACTCTTGACGTTTTTCGGCGCGTGTGAACATCAAGCAGCTCAGTGATCAAACTCAGCGATTGCTCCTCCACGTGGCTGGTTTGGTTTGTTTCACATTCTTCTTCAAACAGAAAAATGCCTCAGACATTGAACTTCCACACGCTTGGCAAAGTCTTTCGCATTCTTAGGACTGGCGCCCAGGGCAGGAAGTCTGGCAGCCCAGATGGGCAAGCGACGGGCCGCCGGCTCAGAAGCTAGAGGGGTGGTTTTGGCTCAGCAACACTCAAAGGAAATCTGGCTGTGGGCCATGGCAAGTTTCCAGCTTCACCATGACTGATCAGCCCACAACCCAAAATTCATGTGAGTACGTTTCACAAAAGGGAACTCTTGACCAGTTGCGCGAAACCTTTGACAGAGCCTTTTTGAGCTACAGGCATTTTGCCGAGCCAGGCCGAGCATGGGGTGGGAGTGCGGGGAAAGCCCCCAACGGGTGCCCCTTGGCAATCGGGCGCCCCTTGGCTTGCGTCGCAGCTGCGCCACAATTCTTCTGTTGATGCTTCTGTAAAAATTTGAAAGCGGCCTGCGATGTCGGCGCTTTCTGCTGGCCATTCTGGCTTTTGGCGGGCAAGGGGCCCATTTCCAACTCATGCCCCATGTGAAGATACGCGCGACGTTTCTCAAGATAGACATCCAGAGATCCAGAAATCCAGCCGACGTGTTTTCCCGCCCCAAGGGACATATATATATATATATATATACAATATTATATTCGCATGAAACCTATTGCAAACATATCAACAAAAGCAACACAGAACACACCGCCCCCATGCCGAAAGCATGGTCCATTCTGGACCAGGCATGGGGTCGGCGGACTCGTGCGTCGGGTGTGCAGGTGCGCAGGTAGGAAAGCACGGATGTGCGAAAGTATAAATTCGCAAATATGCTCAAGCATGATGATACATATGTATGAGCATATGCGTAGATGTGACCGTGTGCGCACTCCGTGCGCATGTCTGCACGCAAGCGTGTGTGTGTGTGTGTGATTCCACGATTGAATTTGTGAATGCATCCATTCATGGTTGCCCTCCCGTATTTGAGTCGCAGGACGAGAAATTCTTGGGATCTGGGAAGCGAAGGCTCAAGGACTCCGACGGATTGATTGGCCTGTGGGTCGGCCCGTTTCCCTGGCAAAACAGAGAAAACACTGCCACTTTAATGACATCCCAGATGCCAAAGTGTTTGTGGTTCTTGTGACAAGAGGCTAACTTGAAAAACCCGGTGGCGCGGCCAGACGCCGAAGGTCTGCGCGCAACTGGTTGGGTCAGAAATGCAACAAAAGGGCTAGTTGTTCGAATGTGTGCTGCCGCCACGGATGGCACGCAGAATGCGAACGGTGCTCGACAAGACTTGGGCTGTTGCGTTGGCGTGAAGGCGCGCTGCGACTGATGCGCCACGTTCTCGCTACATTCTCGCTACTTGGTTATTTTCGGTCAGGAGCCTGGAAGTGGCTGTGCGAGAGAGGCGCTTTCGCCGAAGAGCCAGGAGCGCAACTCTCCTTTCGCCATGCGTCAAGTCGCTTGGGGCCTTGGGCGTGGGGCTCAATGTGCTTGATTTCGAAAATTTGCAGCCGCCGTTCAGCTGCCTTTTTGAATGGACACGTAATTCCATTTTTTCAAAATTTCTCACGGTAGTGCCGCACTTCTGGGGAGTTGTCCAACGAACGCAGACCTGGCCACGGTTCCATGACGGTTGTCCCGTCCTTCTCACTCAGAAAGTCATGGTGTTTTGTATTTTTGTTGAAGGGCGCCTTTCCTGCACATGTTCTTAGCAAGCCAAAAGCCAACCACGGAGCAAGCCATTTGTGCGGTTGTTCGCAAGCTTATGATGGCTTGCGCTTTGAGCTAAGGGGGATCTGGCAGAGCCAGGCTTGGTCTGGCAGCCCAAGAAGCCTGGGAGGATCTTTGGAATCTGAGGAGATGCGGGAGTGACTTTGTTTGAATTCACCAGAATGTTCCAAGCACAAGTGAGTAAACAAAAATGACTGTGCTTGGCAGCGACATGTTCTTGCGCGCGCAGGATCTCAAGTCAAGCTGCGGACCGGTTCGTCGCAGGCAAAGTGCACCTACCAATTAGGGAAGGTCCGAACGTCAGCGAAATCATTCCGTTCTTTGCGGGCTCTGGCTCAAGATCAAGCATACCCTTGGATGGTTGAGCTCTAAGCTTGCAGGTTTCCTTCTGCTGACAAGATCAGCGCCGGAATCTCAAAACCAAACGGCTTGTATGTGGCGTATCTCCACATTCATTTGGGTACGTGCGCATCGGGTTGCGCCGAGGTCCCTTTGCCTCCTTGGGCTGCGCCAGGTGATTCGGGCGAGTGTCCACGCGTCTTCGCGCGTCATGCTGCGCCCAGGCGAGCTGTCCCCATGTGTGCCTCCAGCGCGGGATCGGTCGCCCAGGGCACAAGATAGACGAGCGCCTTGGCCTTCTGAGGTCACTGAACTTGATCAATGTCACGTTGCCTCCCATGCCGCGGTTGATGTCAAAGAAGCCTGAGGTGGCAGATTGGACGCACGGCTACGACCTGGACGCTTACAGGTTTGCTTGGCCAACAAATAAATCACAAGGCAGAGGCAGCCTTAAAAGTACAGATTGCGTCTACGTGGCAGGTCCATCAGAGTATATCCCGACTCCAGTCATTATAAGCGCCTTGGCAACGCGAGAAGCTTATGACAAAAACACAAACGTGATACTTATGCATATACCTGTTTTATGTGTGTGTGAGCTTGGCTAGATGTGGAATAGCATTGCGCGAGTGTGGCTTTTTTGAGGGTACTCCTGTTTTCGGTCTTAAAGTGGAACGAAGTTTCCAGCCTTGTTTTTTTCAGTATATACATCGCACACACATAATACGCACATACGTGTGTGGGTGCGGGTGATGTCTTCGCTTTGGAAGCAGCCTCTAGGCAGCTGGTCGGGAACATATGTTGGAAGCCCTCGCGCAGCTGCTGCGTGATGAGGGGTCCGTGACAAGCTGGGACCATGATCTGGGGGGATCTGCTTTGCCCCTGTAAGTGAACGAGTGCGCTTTGAAAACTGCTGTTTGCCGGCAGTGTGGTCGACCCGTCGAACCTTGTTTGCCGCAGGTGAAGGGGCCGACTACCCCGAATCTTACTTTGGGTCTTGGAGTTACCGCGCTTGTTGTTGCCGATCTGCTTCAAAACCAGACGAGCCCATGGCCCAGTCGGAATTCCTCGCAGAAGAGACGCACCGGAGCGTGCTATATCAAAGAAGCTGACACTTTTCGTTGGTTAAAATCCCGAAGCGGGACTTACTTGGTCCCACACGTAGGTTCCTTCAACCACCGCCACTTCAATTTGGTGCGTCTGTTCTTTCCCTGGCCATGCCCTACCTCATTCACGGACAGAAGCGGCTTCACGGGACAAGCGTGGCCAAAGCTGTTCTTAACGATTTTCACGGATTTTTGCGGCCTTTCCACGGATTTTCACTATTCCGGATTTTTGCGGTTTTTCTCACGGAATCTCACGGCTATGTTTCGCTCATCAGATTCTCGTGGCCGCATGGATCATTGAGTCGTTTTGGCTGAAACGACCTCCGCGGGCTGGAGCCAGCCGGGCCGCGGGCCGGGAGGAGGACACGAACGTCTTTTTGAGCGCGCACCGCCAAACATGAGAAGTGAACCAAACGGTAGGCGCGCAATTGAGTGTGTTTGGCATGGCGGGCCTGGCGCCTGAGAAGGAGACACTGGCTTGATAGACCAGACACGGGCGCAACCAAGACACGCGTTCCACTGCAGCTCGCCTGACGAACCCGCGGTTGGGTGTGTTTCTGTGTGTGTTTTTGTATCCGAGAAGCCGGAGTGAGATGGCAGGAGCGGAGCGCCAGGCCTCCGAGGGCCCTTTGCAGCGCTACCGTGCAGATACACATACACACACATATACATATACGGTTATATATGTACACACATACTACACACGCAATCATACACATTGAAGAGCATGTTTTGCTCCTCAGGACATGCGCCGCGCTCTCCAAGGCCTATTTCGAGCCGCAGGCCTAGCGTCTTTCAGAACGGGGCGTGTGCGCAAATTCTACCCGGCTCCACCTGGGGGCAAAGCCAGCTCAGTCACAAAAATGTGTTTTTGTCCTGTTTTGGATTGTTGTAGTTTGCCTCGATCCTCTTTAAGAAGGCCTAACGGTTGTTGGTTGCATTGCTGGCCATCTTCGCTTCACTTGCAAGTGAGCAGACATGTGTCCGAAGCCGTCCTACAAAGACACATCGAGCGGGCTATCGTTATGAATGGAAAAGGCCTAAAGGCCAAGTTGCGGTGCTTAGCGCTTTCCATGGTAGGGGGTGTTAGCAGGCCTCGGATGATGAATCGGTGTTTCTTGCAAGCTTCTGTTCAGGAAACGAGTTGGGTTCTTCCGGCTTTGCCGGCCAAACTGAGGAGCTTGATTCTCGGAAGCCCGTAGGTCCTTTGGTGAGGAATTGAGTTAACTTGGGAGGAGCATGCCGACTTGCTGGGCCCGGATGGCATGCCAAGGGTGCCTCGGCTAAGAGCTAGCAACCTGTCCGATCTTGGTCGGTTGCTGGGTGGGTGGGGAGAGTTGGTTGGTTGGTTGGTTGGTTGGTCGGTCGGTCGGTCGTTTGGTTGTGCGTTTATGCGTTTATGTACTGATTTGTTTCCTTGTTCCCGAAAGCATGGCGAAGGGTTCTTCCGTTGGATTCATGGGAAGGAGTTATCATCATCAGAGTTATTGCGCAGAGTCATCATCATCAGAATCATTGCAAAGAGCCATCATCATCAGAGTCATTGCACAGAGTCATCATCATAGGAGCAATGCTCGTGAGAGCCACTGGCGAGGAGCAATGACGAGTTTTAAATTCCTTTCTTCTCTTAGGGCGTCGGGGTAGGGCCGACAGCACTCTACGAAAATCAACCCTCTGCGGAGATTCGAGGTGAACAAACTGAGGACTTTTTACGATTTCTGATCTGCCCGAGCGACCCTCTGCGGAGATTCGTGTGGTTGAGGTCAAAAAACTGCGGACTTTTTACGATTTCTGATCTGCCCGCGACCCTCTGCGGAGGTTCGTGTGGTCGAGGTCAAAAAACTGAGGGTCGTGCGTGTCGAAGCGCTCTCGCTGTGGCGTACGAATTTGTTGCTTGCGAAGCGGTCTTTGGAAGTTGTCGCGTGGTTTGCGCGGCTGCTCTCGGAGTCGCGCGGTCGCGGGGTCGATCCCCGCCTGGTCCGCGGAAGCTTTTCTAGACAGAAATCGCAACTTTTAAGTGCAAACGTAGTACGCGGACGCAGCTCCGGCTGGAAAATCAATTTTTAAGTACAACTGTAGTACGCGGAGTACAGGAGTCACTTGTGTTGTAGTCACTGTTTTGCTCCAGGGCGGTATATGTGTCATCTTTGACGTGCTTGGCAAACTTGTCTGAGGGGGGTCCGATAGGTGGCAAGATAGCAGGAACAAGGTTAGTTGCTGCGTGTTGCTCGTGACCACATCGAGCAAAAACTTGCGCGGGAATGATCGCCGTGCTGTGATGCTTTCGGGCCAACCGTGGTCTAGTCATTGTTTTTTGGCGCGCTTTTTGGTTTGTCGGTAGCTCAATTTGAGAGTCATGGAACGGGGTTCTGAAGACCTCTATCGTTCAGGTACGATGCATGAATTTTGGCTGGGGTGTGGTCGGAGTGGAGGGTGCCCGCGCCGCACCCCGCACTCCCGCTACAAGAATAGCCTTGAGCCCAAATGAGATAGTTTTTCGCGCGTCCAGATTGGTAAGAGCAGGAAGTCCGACGGCAGCGAACACCCCCGAAAAAATACACCCGAAGCACACTCCCGAATAGCGCCCGTTTTCTAGCTTTGCTCAAAACAAACCCCCAACGATTAGCGGCTTGTGGGGTCACGGTTTACGGAGTATGCGATTTGCGGATTATTGATTGCAGGTTGCGTGGATTTCCGAGACTCCAGAAGAAGGCTCTGACCCACAACGTGTCGTATGAAGCGCAACGCCTTCCGAACCCCCCCCCCCGAAACATACCCTCTCCTCAGAGGTTGGCAACGGCAGACAATCACTTGTGTGCGTCAAAGATCGTGAGCATATTTTTTCAACGCAATGTCTTAGCCTTGCCGTATTGCATGGTTTCAATCCCACCAGCCCTCCGTCTAGTGATGTCGATTGCCGTATTCATTGGCCAAAAGCTGCGCCTCATGCGAAAAACCACGAACAGCAAAGAGCTGACTGACGTTTCTGGAAAGCGAACTTCTTTTCATTTGAGTCCCCCAGCCTAGCAAAACTTGCCAAGGAAAGAATCAAACGCGTTTGAAAAGGGCCAAGAATCCCTGCTATTGATGTAGTTGGGGCCTGCTCTTGCAGCATACATTTGTTCACGGCCACGCTTGCACAAACTTATCTTCCGCAAGATGCGATAAATAGAAGGTGTGGGCAGCGGCCACTCCGAAGACTGAAAGCACACGCTTCTGTACTGGAGCTAGGAAGAGCAATTTGTCGGCCTTCATGGTTTTCAACCGAGAGTTCCTATGAGACCCAGGTACCGATTAGTCTCATGCATCTTAGGCGTTGCATTTCTACCCAGACTAGATAACAAGCTAAGAAAGGAGAAGCGCGCATACAACACTCAACTCCTTGATCCGCTTGGTACGCACTTTGCGTTGGCACTTGCTTGCCTGCTGCATGTTGAGTTGTGAGTAATTGGCCGTCGGTTGCCGTTCGACCCCGTAGTTTAGATAGCCAATAGAGAGAACTATTTGACTCACTGCCACACTGCTCGGGGAAAAACCACATACCTATATCCAAACTCCAATTCTCATCATGCGACTCCACTTCTCAACGCTATGGCTTTAAACACACCCACCGCCCAAGCCGACCACCACGATCCAACCAGTCCAAAGCACTGTGCCTGTCACACTCAGCCCGGTGAGTGAGTGAGTGAGTGAGCGAGTGAGTGAGTGAGCGAGTGAGTGATGAATGAGTGAGTGAGTGAGTGAGTGAGTGAATGAGTGCGTGGGTGCCTTCTGCGAGCCATAGTCCGCAAGTAGTGAGCGAGGGTAGGTGTGTCTAAGTAAAGGAAGTGAGCGGGTGCGGTTGAAAGTCAATGAGAGTAAGTTAAGCGAGCGAGTGTGAGTATGCGTAATTCATCGAGTTTAAGTTGAGCGAGTGAGAGTAAGTTAAGTCAGCAAGGAGGAGGAAGGAAGGAGAAGGAAGGAAGGAAAGAAGGAAGGAGGAGAAGGAGACCAGAGCGACGACATTAAAAGTAAGAACCCCAAACCAGCACACGGGGCATTGACAACGGGTACGGTCCCGGGTGTTGGGGATACGTACGGTACGCGGCGGCAGGGTATGGCGCGGGGCGCCTGCCCATCGCGCCTCCACCGTATGGCGCCCCTTGAATGGTTTTGTTTCTTCATTCGTCGCTTTCTTGTGTGGCCAAGGGCGCCTGCAAGCGCCAGGGCTCTCCCGACGCCAGGCTCGAGCGCGGACTTGCCACCAACTCACTTAGACAATTCGAAGCTTGGAAGGTTTCACATTTTTAAAGTCACTCTTCTTGAAGGGCAGGGCCAGCTTCACGATCAAAGTGATCACGGGTTTCTATACTTGCAGTTGCTTGCGGCCTGAACAAACCCTACAAGGTTAGAACACGCTTGGCAAAACTTGGGGTGTCCAAAAGTTTTTTTGAGCCATTTGGTCCGGGAGTTTCCTTGAGCGATGTTTGTAAAAGGTTCGATTTGACGCGTATCGGTGAATTTCCAATCGCTGCAGCTCAGCCACTGAGTGGCTGAGTGGCTGGCTGGGGGTCCGAGTGGCTGAGTGGCTGGGGGTCATAATGGGCTTGGTTCGACTTGCTTATCCGATTCGGTCAGCGACATCGAAAAGGCATGCTGTTTTGAGATTCATTTTTTGCCACTCGGCCGCTCAGCCCCTCTGTCGCCCGGCGGGGCGCAGCTTGAACAACCAGGGTTCGTAAAAAGTATTCCACTATTAAGGTGCCGTGGTGAAATTCACCTGGTTTCATTAAAGACGGTTGCCTTTTTCTTGTTTTTTGACCACTAAGTTTGAAAACCAATAAAAAGGGACCCCCTTGTGAAGAGGGCGCTTTGTGAGAGTGTCTTTTTCCACATTCAAGGAACGTTCAGGGGAGCAGTCAAAAACTCAACGATGCGCTTCAATATTGGCCCCCCAACATGCTCCTTTGTGAGAGTGAATTTTCCACAGTCAAAGAAGCATTTACAAATGCAAAAAGGCACTCTGGTAGGAACTCTCTTATGGGAACCTAGGCTGCCTGCGTGTGTTTTATTTTGACCAAGTTAAGAATATACGAGGTGTATCAGGTCCTCAAGCAGTCTGTTGTACTTCTCAGTGTCCAACGTGTTGCATGTATAGTTGAGGGGATGTTTGCATTAGTGCTTGACCGTCTGTGGTGAACTGAATTTGGCTCAAGAAACAGGGTCGGGCGTATCGCGCAGGTAGTTGATGCCGCAGCCGGGGTTGGGCATGGGGTCTAATAACTCTTTGGTCGAGTGGTTATCAGGCGTAGCTCTTCCTTTTAGGGTCTAATAGTAGCCCCCTGCCCTTTGTTAGCGCGGCCAGCTGTGCATGCCCACAAAGGACCGCGGCCCCGGTTGCATACCAACTCCTCGGGGCACGCATGCTGGCAGGACGAACCACGCCGCGGACTGGTATACTTTGTGTGCAGAGGTACAACAAGCATCCAGGCACGAGTTGGGTTTAAATCTGCCGGACTGGCGACCACCTTGGGATCCTCGACAAGACATTGGTATATTTCGCAGGTGGCGGGACGAGGGAGATAGCGATCCGGATCGGTGGGATGAGCTCCTCAAAGAGTTTGATTACGATCTTTTCCACCCAAAAAATACGACCTGCAGTTGAAGAGTTTTTGCAACAGACTTTTGGTGCAACAGCTTCAGCTCACGCCGCAGCCCAAGGCGCGGCGACTGATTCGGAGTCAGAAGATTCCTTGCAACAGCCGCCGCCGTTGACCCCGCCAGCAACAGCCCCTACGATTTCAACCATCGAACAGCAGTCACCAGAGGATTCGCAAAGTAGTTCCACGCAACCCGCAGCCCGAGGTGCGGGTGGCCACGGCGTGTGTCAACAAGCTGCAGTACTCAGGCCAGGGCTGCAGCGCAAGCAGCTCTCAAGTCTATAGAGGAGGTCTGAAAGGCGAAGGATTCCAGCCTTTCGGCGCGTGCCGTAGCTCCAAGCGCGGCGAGAGCTTCCTCAAGGTCCAGGTCATCGTCGCAACCCGCAGCCCCCGGGCACAAGGCCATTGATCCTTGCCCCGGCTTCGTCAAGCTATCCAGTCACAAGAATTGACCGGGAGCCGCGCGGCACGGTCGCCCAACGTGCTGGAGCGCCCTCAGCACTATCTCTCTGAAGGGGATCCACACAGCTATCCATCCAACGCTTGGCCTCGTGCACGACGGTGCATAACTGAAACCGCGCCAGGTGCAGCAAGGCCAGCTCAGGGTTACGATATTTCTAATCCTCCTGAAGACCCACGTGATCCAACGCCTCCACGGCCGGATCCACAGCCTCCACAACAAAGTACTCCCTCAAGACAGTTTTCGGTCCATGGTCGAGCGTGAGCAACGGGTGGACTTCCGTGTGGAAGGGTAATGCTTAGGTGCATCACCAAGAACTTTCAACTGGAACGTGACAGGATGGGGATGTTGGGCGAACTTAATCTCAAAATTGCAGGCACCAACGTTTCTGGTCTGGAGGCTTTCAGGGAGAAGCACCGGTACGTCGTCAAAGCCACACAGGAAGATGAGATGCCCCGCGAGACCACCTTGTTCAACCATCTTCTTGATGAATTCGAGAAGATCCCGTCTCTCAAGCCCAAAATTGAGAAGGCGAGGGACGCCCCATGGAGCAGCCACCGGCGCTCTACCACACGGTTGTGGTCGAAAGCTGGCCTGATCATTGACCTGGATCAAGAAAAGAGGAACCGTGAGGATTTCCATAAGAACTTGAAGTCTTGACATCGACTACTTCCGGGCAAGGTGAACGCCAGCCCAGCCGCCGCTGACAAGGACAAGAAGAAGCCAAATAAGAATCTAGTAAGAAGGAGAAAAAAGAGAAGAAAGATGAGAAGGGCACAAGTAACCCTAAGGGAACGCCCGCAGCCCAGCCCTAAAGACCAAAGCGAAGCCCAAAGGCCCGCCTCCAAAGGCGAAGGCTCAGAGGGGTGCCCAGACCCCACGTTCCAACGCAGTGAACTCGACAAGGAACATGACTCCGAAACAGAAGGCAAAGCAGCCGTGCGTGTTCTATGCGTACAACACATGTCGTGCTGATACGTGTGACTTTCTCCACAGTGATACCAATAAGTATAAGGGGCCTCCACCCCGTGCACTGTCCAAGGCAAAAGCCAACGCGTCTATGGCTACCATTCTGCCGGCAACGCCCGCTCCGCTGGACGGGAAGGTGTCACGGCTGTGGGACACCGCGGCCGGATGGCACCTTCTCGGCAAAAAAGCCATGTCGAGCTCAATGATTCGCTGCGTAAGGCCAACAAGGTTTTGATTCTAATACATTGCGAGCGATATATATAAGTAACGGTAGGCAACAATTTGTGGTAGATACGATATTATGATAAAAGTTAATGTGATATATGGGAATAATTTAATTTATCCTTCTTTCTCTTTGTCTGTATTTGTATTTCCTCTTTTTTCCCTTTAGTGTATTCTATGTTTCTTTTCTTTTTCTCTCTTTTTCCATCTCTTTTTCTACTTTTCTCTTTTCTTTTTGTTCCTCTCTTTTTTCTTTTCTTTCTCTATTCTCTCTGTCGTTTTCTTCTCTCACATTCTTTCTCTTATAATCTCTCTTTTTAGTATTCATTTTTTTGGCTGCTTACTTGCTTGTTTCTCTTTTTCTTTCTTTTCTTTGAACTTCTTTGAATCTTTTTCTCTTAGCCTCTCCTTCTTAATCTCTCTTTCTCTTCTTGTTTCAGCTTTTATATTTCAATAACACTATTATGCTTTGCTTTTGTAAATTACATTCGCCTTTTTCAGAGTTATATTTAAATGTCCGTAATATCTATTGTTTTAATACGATAAAAACGATGTTTTCGATATACATATGTTGCATTTAACAATATATTTAAAAACATTAGTAAACCCATTAATGATAGAAATGAAAAATCAAAAAACAAAAGCAAATAGACGCACATAAATCAAGACGGATTTATTAAAACAAAAAAAACTGATAAAAGGAAACAAATTAACTCAACAAATCATAAATAAGAAATACATTTGGAAGATGAAATAGAAAGCGAATAGAGAGAGACAAATAGAATAAGAGAAAAAGAGGTAAACAAAAGAAAAGAAATGAGGAACAATTTAAAATGCAAGATAGAAAAACAAACCGATAAGAACAAATAGAAAGATAGATTATAGTATATTGCCACTATTAAAAACAGCTTCTCGTGCCTATATCTCTCTGTATTAGGTCCTTCCCACACTACTTGCAGTAGGCCGGGATTCCTAAACAAAACCGGCGGCGCATTATGATTGATGGTTTGGATTGGTGATTTGCTTTCCGGGCTGTGGTTAGTCCCGTGTACAAAAAACAACGTCGTATACTATTAGGCCCTTAGGGATATCACTTTAGCCTAGTTTTTGTATGTTTTTTGAATTATGACGATTATTTTTCTCTTGGCCATTTTTTAATTATAACTTATGTTTTGTTTTTCGGAATTGATAGGTTGTTTTTAGTCTTTATTATGTAAAATGGAACGGTTGTATTATGTTAATAGATGGTTCCCCACGATCATGTTACTGGAAACTAAGCTCTAGGACCTTCTTAAAGACCAACAAAAGAAGCAGAGAGTCCGCAACTGCACCGAAGGCTGTTTCAGAAGGCACCATGTCGAGCTGAGGGGTTCGCTCTACATTCCCGCTCGCACTTGCCCTGTTGGGGTAGAGGTGCTGAGGGATGAAAGGTCAACCGTTTGCTACTATGAGGACGGCCCTCGAGAGGTCATCAATGACTCTTGGCGTGACGTAGAATCCTCGGCCAGAGGTACTCGGGCAAAGTGGAAGGTGCAACGGCGGTGGCGTAGCTTTTGTACTAAGGCTGGGCTCAAACCTGACATGTAATTGGCTCACATAGTGTTCAAGTGCCACTGCGTGGGTGAAAAAGCAGAAATGGCTGCGGCTGTCCCACAGGTGTGTGCGAGGACAAAGCACATCAAGGCGGCCTAGAACAAAATGTACGTAAGCAAGGCATGAAGGGCGCAACGCATTTCTATGTCATGCTACAACTTGCCAAGGAGGGGGGTGAAACACCAGTGATTCCCGCACATCCGGACGACAAACGTCCTCTGGTAGAGTTAGCAGATGGCGAACCATCAAGTGAGGTTGAACTTCGCAAAGAAGCCGCTTCATCTCAGCATCTCCTAACGCATTTCCCAAAGAACCCGTACTGCAAAGTGTGTTCCATTTC